CATTTTCATTAATTAACTCATATCTTCGTCAAAAAGGCGCATGGGCCCAAACCAACTTGGGGTTTTTCACTACTGACTATTTCCTACATGATGAAAATAGTCTGAGTCGAAAAGCTTTTAATCACCTCGAGAGATTCCCTCGTAAGTCTAGACTTAAGTCAGACTTAAATGTATAAAATTAGTACGTAAGTGTACAAAACGAAGACTTAAGTCTAGACTTGGTTAAGTCGAGCACTTAAGAATTTTTATGAAACACTCCCGAAGAAGTTAATACGTTTTTACTTCTTTTCTGGCCACTCTCTCTCTTTCTCTCTCATTTCTCGTACATAGACTGGTTTATCAAGACGGCGAATAGTTTTTCCTCATCTTTCCTTCACTTAAATCAATAACGTAATATTTTATTTCAACACAATGTTCCTCATTCGCTCTTGAAGAAAATGATTATGAATCATTTCTTATCTCAGATGAGATATGTCATATCATGTATTTTTACGCGATTAGCAGATCAGTTTACAGAGTAGATAAAATACGAGAGGAATTGCTTCTTAATTTATTAATTCTGGATCTTTGAAAATGTCAATAAGTCTTTAAAACGATTCTGAACGAAAAGAATTATGTATCGAGAGTTCAAACGAGAAAGAGTTGATCAGTATTAGATTTTTTTCATCTTAATTTTTGTGAAATCATCCTTAAATATCTCAACTAACCTTCGTACAGAAAGTTTCTCGCTGAGGTCTTGATTTGTGTTGACATGATCTAATGTGTGAAGACGAACTTGTTTCCGACGTATGTTTATTTTTTGCTACATCTAACTATACATTGAGATTTTATCAGCTGAGATTGAAAACTCAAAAGATCTGTAAACAAAAGATCTGCAACACATCCGTTTTTAAAAAAAAAACAATTTGTTATTGAAGTTTTCAATGGAAATAAGATTAAAAAAAAAGAGTATTTTATTCACTTCAGGTTATTTTTAGTGCCGAAGCGCGAACGATTGATCCTCCGCTCTTATTATCATCATTTGTTCGTTTAAGATGCTGAAATTTGTCAGATGAATCTTCATTTTGAGATCGATTTTTAATTATTCGGTTTGAACGCGACCGTAAATCGGCTTCTTTTTTGAAAGAATCTTTTTTTTCATCATGAACAATATCATTATCGAGATCTGGTATGATTATTTTATTCATTCTTGAAGATAAATCGAAATTTTTCAATTTGTTTTCAATTCCTGAACTACCAGTCATCGCAGTTCTCGAAATTACATTTTTATTGTTTGTAATATTCATTAATGATACTACCGGAATTATTGTCGTTGTTGTTTTTACTGTTGATGATGTGGTCGGTGTTATTGTTTGTCTGTTATATTCTTTAATCGGTAAATAATTGTTATGATTCAATAATAGATGAGATTTATCTGATGTTGAATTTGCTTCATTAATCGAATAAAGGCGACTATCTCGATATAAATTATTTGAATCATGTAACCAACTTGTACGTAACAATTTCGTGTAATCAACGTCTTGTTGATACTTATTCGATAGTATATCGTCAGATAAATGACGATTGATTACTGGTGAGGGAGATTTCTTAGTCAAAACTTCAGCCTACATCGGA